ATTCTAGGATTCCATAAAGGCATTGAAGAACTTAGCTTGGTATTTATATGTGATGATCAACATGTTTAAGTTTTCTGTTTTTCGGTTCATTGAATCACGTTTCTTGTATCAGTGGGTAACAAAGCGGACGATTTTTTCCTTCACCATGTTGTTTAAAAGAAGTATTAATGGTTGGAACATGTCTCTTGACAACGTTCTTGTACGTGATGATAAGTTTAGAGAACACAATATTAGAGCTACTGGTGGAGTAGTTAAAACTTAACCTACTTCTCATAAATCACTTGTATTTATAGCTATCTTGTAATCATACAAAAGACGAGTATACTCTCTTTATGGTATACTTATTACAACTAATACTTACACAATAATACTCTTAACACTCCTCCTCAAGTTGGACTATATATATATCATATAATCCAAATTGGGAACAAATAGCTGTAAGACGCGTACAACTCAATGCTTTGGTAAATACATTTGCAAGTTGATCCTCAGATCTGACAAATGGAGTTGTAATCTCTTTAGCTATTATCTTGTCTCAAATAAAGTTGGCAATCAACTTCAATATGTTTGATTCTCTCGTGAATACAGGAATTGACAGTGATATGGATAGTTGCCAAATTATCGCAAACAAACTATACAAAGAGGTTAAACTGAAAAATCAATTTCTTGGAGAAAGTGTAGTAATCACGTCAACTCACTAGTTATATGTGCCATTGCTCATATACTCAACCTCTACGCTAGATCTTGTTGTCACTGTTTGTTTCTTACTCTTTATGAGACAATGTTACTTCTGAAGAAAATACCAAGCACTGAAATTAAGTATTTCAGCCATTTTTTTTCAAGATTTAAATCCAACTAGAAAGTGGACTAAAACCTCCAAATAGATCTCTTAGGATTAGCCAACCAAATGCAATACACATTTTGTTGAGGGGGGAGGGAGGGATGTGTACTCTTTAACATTTTTACTAAAACCCAATGCAGAATCCTAATTGAATTTCAAAAGTGCCCCCACATTTTGGGGTTGCAATTAACAGGCTCAATTTTAGTTCCAAAACTCTATTTATAAGGCTAATATGGTGGAGTGATCATTGGTTTATGTATGCTTGACTTGCAAATGGTGGTTTGTGAAAACAGGGTTAGGCTGGAGTCGGTATCACATTATTTGCTTTCACTACATATTGTTCAACCAGCTCATTTTCACTACTCCTTAATTGAGTACTTACCCTTGGGAAACTGTGGCAATATAATAATTTACATATCTTATTGCTATTGATAAAATTTAACAAAGAGTATGAAGGGCTGCTGAACAAGAAAATTGTGTAATATTTGTGGGCAGATACTGCACAAATACTGGGAGAGGCGTGATGTTAAAGGGCTCTTAGTGCGATGGAGAAGATGGCTGATCACGCTGTAAGTATTAATGTCTTTCTGGCATGAAGTATTATGTCTTTCTTGCATGCTTCTTTCTTTTTGTTTTTAAATCATTTTGTCTTCATTTTTTCAATTTGCAGGCACGATAAGATTTATCATGTGATTAATCCTATAGAGCCCCACTACTTGTTTTCCCCTTTTTTTTTCCTGTCACATACACGTTAATTTCCAAATGCTTCATGATGCAGGTTCTTGCCGATGTGATCAGCTTGTTGGCAGAAAAAACTGACATCATCACACTGGATATTTGCACTTGTCTCCTGCCACTCCTGACAGGTCTTCTGGAAAGTGGCATGGACAGGTAACAAACTTGCATGATATCTGGCCTTTCCTTATATTCTTAGCCTGTTAACAGTTCACTTTTATAAACGATCGTCTACTAGGTTTGAGCAGATGATAAGACAATACAATCGATATTACAATCTTCATCTATTATTGTGTGCTGTCCCCATCTTAAACCTAAGTTAATGGTCGACCTGTTATGCAACTATATTCTGCTGATATTCCTGTCTCATTTAACCTGAACATTTTCATTTTGAAATTTTGTGAGTTTTTTCGGTGAATGAGTTATTGGGAGGGTAGCTAAGTTCACGGTTGTCTGAAATAAAGTGATAGTAAGTTATTGAACCCTCATTTATTTGTCTTGAATAGATGTGAGTGTCTACTGACATTACTTGTACGTAATTTTAGTTATTTTTTATTCTGTTTGTTCTATTAATAAAATCCATTGGATTTCTTAATGTTCGTTTGTCATTTTTTTTGGCTCCACTAACCAAAACCATTAAATCATAACTTGTGTGGATGTTTTGACAAAAAGTTGGTCCATGTACTAGCAGGAACAAGCGAAGTGGGAAGAGAGAGGTAGAGTAATATAGTGTTTTCATTGTTTTGTAGGGGTGCAACTCGGGCGGGTTGGATAATCAACCCTAGCCCAACCCTAGGTATATAATCTTCAACTCTAACCCTAATCCTAACCCTAACCCTACCTCGGGTTGGAGAACTCAACCCGAGCACTGCCTGAGTTTAATTTGGGCGGGCTCGGGTTGAATTCGAGTTACTTTACGGGTTCAATTCGGGTAGAGCCCAAAATAGGCTTGTTGTTCTAAACCTAATACATATATTACATAATATTCACCTAAATTAATAACCAATAATTTCAATTAAGTTTTTTAACGAGAGAGACTGAGAGAACGAGATAGGGAAAGAGAACGGGAGAGACAGAGAACGATAGAATAAAAATGAAAAATCAGTGCTAATGTTTTATATATATAATTTTTTTTTTTAATTTGTCGGGTTCAGGTTGAACTCGGGTTTACGAGGTCTTAACTCGAGCCCAACCCAAAATGAATTCGGGTTGGGAGTTTTTTGACTCATGTCCAACCCAAGTATTAAAAATCCTTGCCCAAGCCCTAATTTTTTCAGGTTGGGCTCGGGTTGAAATCGGGGACAAAGGCATTATTAGACCATTATTAGAGACCAAGATTCATTTTCTTAGAACTGACTTGAAATATCTCAAAATACGATGAATAGCTTCTAGATGAGGTACTTGAGGGTCATGTATGAATTGATTTACGATTTTCACTACATAAGCAATATCCGACCGAGTATGAAGGAGATATATCAACTTTGCACTAATCTCTGGTATCTCTCTTTATCCACAACATCACCAATATGACTCACTAGCCGATGGTTCACTTCAATGGAAAAATTTGTAGGTCTGCATCCCAACATACTAGTTTCTTCAAGCATATCAAGAACATATTTACTTTGAGAGATAAAAATGCCTTTGTTTGGTTTGGTAACTTCAATCCCAAGAACATATTTACAATTTATCACACGTTTACCCGTTAAATAAAATTAATATAATAATAAATTAATAGTTATTTTAAAAATTAGCAAGAAAAAAAGAAGTAAAAAAATAAAAAAAAAAAAAAAGAAGTATAGTAGTAGTTCAAAGACAAAGGAGAGGAGATGGGGACAAAGGCAAACCAATGCCTTTTGTTTTTGTCTTACATTGAAAAATGAGGGGAGATGGGGAGGGATGAGTTGCCTATACAAGGCAATGACCTCTTGTTTTTTTTTTTTTAAACCTTCAAGTTTTATTTTTATGAGATTTGACTAAAAACTTCTCTTTTTTGAGGTAAGTGCAATTGATAATAAGAAAAAGTAGAGTATTAAAATTTGTTGATATAATTTTTTTTAAATTAAATGGGTTAAACGAGTCGTGTTGTGTTACTCGTTTATTAAACGAGTCGTGTTTGTGTTGAGATTTTTTATCTGTTTATCAAACGTGTCGTGTATGGGTTTATATTTTTTTACCTGTCACCCGTTTAATCCGACACGATTGACACCCCTACTTCCAACCTTGAGGAATAGATTTAGAGGACAAGCGAGAAATAAATGTATGATAAGATGGAGATAAGGAATAAAAAGAAGCACAGTTAGATGTGGGGTGTCGAGTATAAGCTCGAACACCTTTTCTAACTACAGTAGGAAGCTTAGAGTCATCAACAGTTGAATTATCAATAAACTAGGTGACAATTGGAAGCTCATTATCTAGTGAGCCAATAAGAGATGCTAGAACTAGAGTGGAGGAATTCAACTGACCCGGCGGCACATTCGTGATCTGTACCTTTTGACGCTGAGAATAGGTCTTCAGAGTACAAGGTAGATTATTGGTACTAATAATTTGTTGCTTCCCCTTATTAGTATCCTACTAGAAAGGTAATTGAAGGAAGGGCTCTTGACATACCATTTCTTGCTCAGTAGTTGGATTCTCCCCTAGAATAATTGGCCGGAAGGAGAGAAAAAGGACTCAAAACTCATGAAAGGTAACATCCATGCTAATATACCTCTTCTATGTTGGCGGATGGTAACATTTATACCTTTTTTGAGTGGGAGAATAATCCATAAAGACACTGCAGAACCTTAGGATCAAGTTTCCCCCTGGATGCTCTATGGTCATGGACAAAATAAACACATTAAAAAACTTTAGGAGAAAGAGAAGAAATAGAGGAATCGGTAAAATCCCAGAAAGACACACCCAAAAGAAGACTTAAATTGCAAGACACCAAAAGGTAGATGATTAGTAAGATAAGTAGTAGTAAGTACATCATCTCCTAAAAAGTGCATAGGAACATTCAAAGTAAATAGCAGGGAATGGACAACCTCAAGAAGATTGGTGATTTTTTGCTCAGTAACACTATTTGTTCCGGGGTACGCACACAAGTAGTTTGATAAAGGATGTCCTTCTCACTAAGCTAAAAGCGAAATTCTCCATCAATATACTCATTCCGTTGTCATTGCAAAAGACTTTAATTTTGGCATCAAATTGGGTACTAATAATTTTGTGAAACAAAAGCATGAAAAAACTTCATTTTAGTGTGTAGGAAGTAAACCCAAGTAAGACGAGAATAACAATCAATAAAAGTGACAAATCAACGGTAACTGAGATAAAGATAACACGGGAAGGTGAGTGAATGATAACAAAAGAAACAATGCTTTTATTATTAGTACTAGGATAAGAAGAACTTTGTGCTTAACAAATTTGCAAGCATCACAAATAAAAAATTGCCTACAACACTGCTTTAATAAACTAGGAAAAATATGCTTTAAAACACCAAACGAGGGATGTCCCAAACACCAGTGCCACTGAAGTAGGATCTGAAGGGCTAAAACACTATTTTCCTAGAGAGCTTGACAAGTGGACTAAGGAAAATCTTCATCATCTAGGAGATACATACCACCATGTGCTCTACCATAGCCAATCGTTTTTCTTAATTCTAGTTTCTAAAATGTACAATGAGTAGTAAAAAAGTACTAAATAATTCAGGAATTGAGTAATGCTAGCTAGTGGAGAAATTGGGAGCATAAAGAACAGAGGAGAGGGAGAGGTAGAGTGAGCAATTAATTGAACCTTTCCCGAAAATTGAGGATAAGTATCCATCTGCCACCTTGATTTTATCGCTATTTGAACATGTAGAGTATGAGAAGAAAAGACTAGAATAACATATCATGTGATCTGTGGTTTTAGAATCTATTATCCAAAGAGTATATGAGGATAATGCAATAAACACACTACATATACCCATGTGAGCAAAGTTGGAGAAAGAGCTATGATTAGGAGCTGTGATAGAGGAATATCAAGTTGAGCCATCAAACGCCTAAGAATCTGCACCTTATCCCAAGAAATAGTAGACAGGGTGGTGCCACTAGACTGAGGAGGAGTTTCTGAAGATCGAGTCATTTGTGCAAGAGATCGCACCTTACCACCGCGGTCACCACCCTTCCAACACAATTCCCGTGTATGCCTTGTCTTCCCACAATAATCACATTTGAAGGAATCCTTAGACATAGTGCTACTCATCTGAGTAGACTTGGGCAGAGTTGAACTCATGTCACGCTGAGAGATAGCAGCCAATGCAGATTGGTCTTGAGTAGGAGCATGAACCATAGTAATCCTCCGGTTGAACATGGGCTTAGGCTTCCTGTAAAGTAAGAAAAGGACTACCACCTAATATTAAGATTGGCAAGGAAGTCATACACTTGTTCATTTTTCACCATCTATTGAAATTTAACAGCATCATTCGTATAATCTATTGGGAAACTCTAGTAGTAGTCAAACTCCTGCCATAAAGTAGTCAACTTCGCATAATAAACTACAAGTGTCTTATCTTTTTGATTGGCCAGTCGCACTATCTTACTATCTTTCGAAGATCGTACGCCTTAACATCATTGTCCCGTTGAGAGTATGTATGGGATGCAACAGTCCAAATTTTATATGTTGCATCAAGTACCAGAAAATCACGACTGATAGACATTTGCATTGAGTTAAGCAACTAAGATATAATCAAAGTATTCTCAGATGTCCACTGCTTTAACGAGGTACTTGCCCCACTAGGCTTCTTAGTGTCTCTAGTCAAATACCCATCCAATTGCTTGTACTGATAATAAACAAGCTCGTGACTATGCCAAATAATTTTGCCCATCTAATTTCTTGGGACTAATTTGGAGAGAGGGTTTATTTGCGAGCGCACCTAGAGAGAGAGAAGACAGACGAGAGAAATGGGGTTTAAATACTTCCACCAAAAATAGGATTTTTGTTGCCAATGGCGTTCCATGGTGGACCTTATTAAAGTCCCACTCCATCGCGCACGTTTCCATTTTTTCTTGTTTTTGAAAACACCTTTTTTGTGTTTTCATTTTTTGTCCTTGTTTTTAAAACAGAGTTGCTAAAAAAAAATTAGAAACACATCACAAACACATTTTTATTTGGGCAAAAATTGAAAACAAAATTAGAAAAAAGTAGAAACAACGCGTTACCAAACACAAGCTAAGAGATACGTTCGAGGAGGCTCATTATTTCAACTAAAGATAGCGAATAATCATTTTATTTTTTTAGTTGGAACTTTAGGCGGTTCGCGACAAAAGTAGCAAAAACAATTAACCTTGGAGTTGAGACTAAGAGGAATGTATTAACTAATGCTTCCATAGATTTGATTGTGGTTGTCAATTATAACTTCCATACCTATTTATTTTGTGATTATTTTTTGGGGGGAATCATCTCCTGGCTACCTCTCCTCGATTTAGCTCTCACTTCACCTTTCGCTTCTCACCTAGGCATCCAGAGACCTGAGCGTCTCATCTTGCTTTGCAACTTAAATAAGAATGTCCCCAAAAATGATCCAAAGCTTGGCCAGACTGGACTTGAAGTCAACAAAAACAGTTTTTAGGATTTGTCAAAACACCCTAATACTTTGTATTCACCCTTATACTTTGGAGCAGATTGCTCATTTCTTCCACTTAATAATTTTTGATTCATATTTACTAGAGATGATAAGAAAATAGGATGATGAAATTTTGATGAAAAAGGCTGTGATTAAAGATGTTACTAGATGTTGTAAGTGAATTGGTGTTGTTATCTAATATTTTCTGCATCTTTAGGCATCAAGGTGTTTCACTGGCAATGCTGCTTAAGCTGGTGAGGGTATTTGGTTCAGTAATCTATTCTTCTGTAACAGCGCCATCTTCTGTTGGTGTGGATATTGAGGCAGAAGAAAGGTGTCACTAAATCCATCTCTAATTCATCTTCAATTTACTTTCCATGTATTTATTTATTGAATGACTGCTATTTCTTATTCTGTGTTGAAAGATTGGAGCGTTGCAATATCTGTTTTATTGAACTTGAAAAGGTCAAGCGTTGCCTGCCCGTCCTTACCAGGTCTGTATTCTCTCATTTTAATTGCTTGTTGCAGTTTGTATTTATTGCGATGCCACTGAAATTACTTTGTTCCTCTTTTCATTTTATCAGAAGAGGGGGTTCTGTTGCTAAGTCTGCTCAGGAGCTGAATCTTGCACTTCAAGAAGTTCATTGAGTACCATACAAATTGATTAGACTGGAGGAAGTGCAATTACTTTGGGACAACTAAATATTTATGTTGCTTTGACGGATTGCGTAACATGAAGATCTGAGCTGCCTGTGTAGGGGCATTCACTTGTTCCATGCACTGTGTTGTGTGGTTTCACCAGTGATCGTGTTTTGTACATTCATGCCAAGTGAAAGCATTAACTAATTCTTTTACTTTTGACCAAAACCTGAAGATCGAGGGACAACCCACTCTGCACCTGCTGCTAGTTGAGCTCCACGGCCAATGATTACCTGCCTGGTGGAGAAGGATCCATCCACACAGATACCTAACCCTTTGTTTAGCATGTTGATTTGTAATTATAGCTCTCTTGAACGGGCCTATGTATTGATTTGATTATCTATAGTGACAAGTTGGTCTGAGCTGTGAGACTAGAAATGTTTGAACTATGTTGATGTTGATAGTTTTGAAAAAGAGCAAGTTGTGCTTTTGTTCCTGAGCGTGAAGTAATATGAATCACTTATTAATCAATTTGTCTACTTGCAAGTGCATAAGGAAAAGGGCAACCGGACCAGTCCAAACAGGCACCATTTCAGTGTGGGGCAAATTATGAATTACTCCCTTGTGGTTTGGATCAGTTGCATATTGCGTCATTGTACTTTGAAAACATAAACATAACCTCAGATTTTGGACCAAAGTAAACTGTTAGATTTTCTTTCCAATTTGAGAGTGCATCAAATGTGCCAAAATAGTTTTTTGGTGTCATGCTCCAATTTCACAACAGATGTGATTTAAATAGAAACTATTTAATTTAAAATTAACTTGTGAGAGCATTCATAGCTACGTAACAAATTAGTAAGCATCAATCTATTTAAATCACAATTAAGATTCACTTCATTTAATTAAATTTTTTTAAAATATAAATCAACTATTAAAGGTTTACATCCTAAACTTCCCAGCAAAATAATCAATTTTGTTAAGCTAATTAAAACTCATAAATTTGGACAATAAAACAATACATCAAATGACTAAGCATTAACTTCTCAAGTTTCAACTTCGTGATTAATATTTTGATCAATATTAGGGTTCACCTCAAAGTCAGCATTTAACCTTATCTTATTCTCTCAACTTAAATCTGAAAAATATTAAATATAAGGATGAGTAAAACTAGTTCAGTAGAAAAACTTTTTCAAACCTAAACAAGGTTTACAAATATACTAAAAGAGGTAGGTTTCAAATTTAGAAAATTACATGTATAACTTTTGAAGGATGCCATATGACATTAATAACGATCTCAAGTTTAGATACACGTACAAAATTTCATTAGATAAGGAATCCTCCATAGAATAAAAGTTTTGTAGCCAAAATAGTTTTTGTATGTAGTTTAACTAGTAAGAATTCACACGCTGAAAAATATTTGGTACACCCCCCCACAAACATAAATCACCCAATCAATTTATACAGGGCCACATTGTTTTAAGGAGTATGTATGCTGACACATCAGTATTTAATGAAATCTTGGTAAGCGTAGTATACTAACCCTCAGCCTCAACTCTAAGTAAACGTGTAGTAGTTTGGAAGCTTGCAAGGATCTAACACTCCATTACAAGTGATAGAGAACCTTCAAATCTCTCAAGGTAAGAAACTCATCTAAGAACTCTATAATATATGTTCGCATGCATTCGAGTTCATCAAATCCACCAATGCAACAGACTTAAATCATACTTTTCAAATCGATCACATATACCACAAGCATCCATTTTCACAATTCTTAGCGTAAAAGAAATGTCAATAAAACATGAATGAGTCCATAAGAAAATATTCTCTAGTTAACATTATTCAAGATCTAGGGCTTGTGAACTCAGAGCACATGGAATCGAAAACAAGTATTTTCAATAATAAGATTTCATCATGCTTTTTGACTAAAAACTAAAGACCATCTATATTATTTATACGATTATGAGTCAAAAAGTACATATATAATAGCCCTAGCCTCAATTAATAGGAAAGAGAAAGAAACTCTACCTTGATTCCATAGAAACTGATCCTAAAGTTTGTTACGTTATTTCCCATATGCTAAACCCAACGATCTTTGGCCCGATCTCCTCTTCCTCCTCTTTGTTCTCTCCAAGTCTCTCCAAGGGTTGAAAATCGTGTAGGAAAACTAGCCCCCAGGGTATTTATAGTGCCCAAACTAGGTTAAACTATGCTTAGTGAGAATCCTGGTTCTAGGAGGCATGTCTAGATGGAAATAGTGCAACCAGATGGAGTAAACATGTTGTCCAAAAATCCAAATTCGCGTTCGGACGTGAAATTGGCATCCAGATGGACCTATTTTTTTCTTCAAATTTCCATTATGATTTTGACCTAATTAGAGGTTGATTCATGAAATTTAAATACACTTTTGTGCAGCTTGAAGTCTTCTTTCTAAAATCGCAAGAATCAGTTTAATTGAAATAGTGTCAAATACTAAGATAGTGTTAAATTTTTTACTTCCCAAATTCTCTCGAAAATGTGTTTGGCTGATTCACTTAATGTCACTAATGTTCTATAATTTTTATGAATTGACAATGAATAACATCTGTCCACAAGGTGAATCACCCAAAGTGGTATGTCGCATGGCATTCATTTAATAAACGTGGGAAGAGGCAAAGTTAGTCGTCATGGTTTTTCAAATTTAAGAGGAGCAGTTACTTGAAGGCTCATGTATTGAGGGAACGAGCAGTTATTTTGGAATTCAAAAGACAATAGTTATCAAGACTGACTTGGCCCTTAAAGTCACGAAGTTAGTAGTTGAAGCAAGAGAAAAAGGCAGAAAGAAATCATTGATGAGAAGTGCCTATAAAAGAGATATTAATCACAGAAAATAGTGACGATCAAAACCATCATAGACCCATGACTTGGGCATCTTAGGAGTAGTATTTAGTTTAGTTTTTAGGATAGAAAGTTAGTGCTACAACTAAGGCTAATTCATTAGTCTTTTGTAACCAAACTTCAAATTTGATTAATAAAAGTGTCCTTTTGTTTAACTTTGTTATCTTTGACTTTGCTTTGAGTTTTCGATTGATTTCATCCATAGAAGTCATGAAACAGGGCAGTTGAACTCCAATCCAAGCAGTCGCGTGAAACCATTCTATCAAAGGATTTCATCTATCAATCGTTGGAGAAAATCCTTTGTACACCCAATAGTCACCATAGAAACTGATGATACCTCAAAATAAATCCCAAACGCCAGCTCATGAGGTTAGCTCAGCCCAGGAGGTCAGCTCAGCCCAGGAGGTCAGACTAGATGAACAGAACTTGGAAGAGTAGAGCTAGAGGTCCCTTCGAGATAAGCAAGGGCAATAACAACCAAGACAATAGCTGGAAGATCACGAGAGCTTCCTAAAAGTGCTAGGAAGCTATAATCAAGGCACCGAATCTCAACCAACCAAGATTTTCTCCTATAATCAAGGAGAACCCCACGAAATAAGGGCAAGAATCTCGGCTAAGATCCCACTGAATAGGGAACAGCCCTATAAATACTATGTAACGCCCCCACGGAACGAGAGAACCCTAGAGGCAAAAAACTAACCATTGTATTCTTGCAATCATCATTATTGAAGGACAAGGAGCAAGAGTTTCCATTAAAGAGTGGATTAGCTGAGCTCCCGAGTTGGTGAATCACTATATTTCTACTGTGTTAATTCCCAACTCCCCACCAATCCTTAGTATCATTCACTCGAGTCTAGTAGCTCAGATCCCAACAATTCCAATATTGTTCCTTTCATTTACTCGTCATCACAAATTTGCATAACGTTGAAAAACACCATCAGTTTGACGCCGTTTGTGGGAACGACTATTCCTGTTACAAATAAAACTGATTTTCCAGTGACTAATGGTATCAACGCGGAACATGAGCCGAAGTCAGACCAATCCTCTACGAATGCAAGATCAACAGGAGGCCGCAAATAACAGGCAACCTGAAAACGCTCAAGAAGCAGATCCCCCCCATGGGGGGCCTTCCCATGAATAATGAGATGGAGGCCCTTCGTCTTGTCAATGAACGTATGATAAAACAGAACGAAGAGCTCTTAAAGCTTCTACAACGCCCATCAGAGGCATGACTGGCCCAAGGAAGCCAGAATAACCCACCACCAAGAGAGCAACCGCATCTCGACCCCCTTAGAAAAGTTAATGAGGTGGGAGAGAATAACCAAACCTTCGGGCAAGAACCTCGCCTACCCCTAGGAATGGTCACAACGAGGAAGTGCAAAATCAGTATAAGAAAGGGGAGAAGAGCGATTTCTTCCCTTATCAACAGGAGAGAAGAAAACACCACTGGGAGCAACGTTTCAAAAATATCCAGCAAGAGCTCAGCTAGATGAAGGAGGCAGTGAAGAGCAAGGCCCCAGTCACTATGGATGCCTTGGTGTAGCAAACCGAATCCCCATTCATTGTTGGGGTGCTACATTTCCCTCTCCCACGTAAATTCAGAATGCCACAAGTGGATGCTTTCGATGGGACAAAAGATCCCATGGACCACCTCAACACCTATAAAAACCAAATGTAGTTGCATGGATGTCAAGATCCAGTGAGATGCAGAGCCTTTGCTATCACCCTAAAGGGTTCAGCCTTAGCATGGTTCAACAGGCTCCCCCCAGCCTCGATTTCCTCTTTTAAAGAGCTGTCAATCTCGTTTGTGTCCCACTTCATTGGAGCTTGGACCTATAGAAAACCGAGCTACCGTTTGTTAAATGTGAAACAGGGACCTGATGAGAACCTACGGTCTTATGTCCAACGGTTCAACTCAGAATCCTTGAAGGTGGATGTCCTAGACAAAAAATTTGCAATTACAGCCTTCATAGCAGGTCTGGGGATTTAGTCAAAGGACTTGATGTTTTCTATCTCAAAGAACCCCCAGGCTAGTATGGCGGAGGTGCTCGCCAAAGCAGAAAGTACATAAATGGTGAGAAAGCACTCCTCTCCAAGTTCGGGAGCTCTTCGTTGAGAAAGGAGAAAGGGAAGGA